ATCGGCATGGATCTGTTCACGAAGGCTCGGATGGGAGTGGGAAGGGAGGAAGGTCTTTGGGGCGGACTAAAAGGGTTTGGGTCAGAAAGTTTGGGCCCATCTGTAGACAAATAGGGAGTGATTTGGGCCAGCAGGCATTAAACAGCAGAACTGCTGATTTGGGCCAGCAGTTAATTATTAGCAGAGCTGATATGTCAAGGGATGGAAGTATGGGAAACGAGTTAGGAAATGGGTTTGGGCTTCAGATGTCATGTGCGATCAGTGGCAGAGGGTCTAGTTGGGCTCAGCTTGCGGCCCGACTTCTAGCGGAATGGGCCTCTTCTCCTCTGAGGAACTGTGTATCGGTTTTTATTCGGTTTCCCCGCCAGGCAGAGGCGGAGAAGACTCTCGCAAATCGAAAGAGCTGGCATCCTCTTCCTGGGCAATCTATGATTCTGCGGCGGAATAGCATTGGAGGTTTTGAGCTTTATTGGCAGAAATTAGTCTCAGGTAATGTGGAGGAGGATGGGTCTTCGTCGCAGAGTGAGGTTGTCTCCTTGGAAAGTCAGATGGATTCGCAGCTTCTCTTGCCTCCGGCATCGCCTACGAAGTCTGATTCGGTTTCTGCCGCGAATGAGGTGGGATTGGTTGATGCTAGTGATCTTCCATCTCCGTCTTGCGTTGCCAATAGCCATACTAGAACTTGGAGCCAAGACTCCTTCCCTTTTGATTTGAGCACTCTGGAAGTCTCTAGTTTGGAAATGGGTGCGCTGTTTGATTTGGTTGGAGATGGAGGAGCGCCTGGCGTCGAAAGAGTGATTAAGGATCAGGCTAAAAGTCTGCATAAGAGGAAGGTCAGAATGTGCAGGTCTAAGCTAGAAATGGAGCAGCTTCGAATCGGACCGATTGTGGAGTCGCCTGTTGAGCCAAGGCGGAGCAAGAAGAAAGGGGTTTGATGGTCTGTCTTCTAATATTTAATGGAATCTGCAGTTATCGTTTGGAATGTGAGGGGCTTAGGCAACAGCGATAAGAGGGCCAGAGTCAAAAGGCTGATTGGGAGCAGAAAACCGAAGATTGTGGGTTTGGTGGAAACCAAATGGGACAGCTGTGATGACAGTAAGATCAGATGTATTGGAGGGTCGACGGATCTAGGTTGGATCGCTAAGAATGCTGCTGGAAGCTCAGGGGGAATTGCGATTTATTGGGATAAGCTTTGCTACAATGCTCTGTCCAGTAGAGAAGGTAGACACTTCCTTGTGGTGGAATTCCAGGAGATTGTCTCTCAGAAGATTTGGAATCTGGTAGTGGTGTACGGTCCGCAAGATAGGGATGGTAAAATTGACTTTCTCAACGATATTCGGGTTTTGTGTCAGCAGTGTCAGGCACCTATGTGCATAGCGGGAGATTTCAATTTGGTGCGGCGTCACGATGAGTACAGAGGAGCAAGGCGAAATAACAATCTGATGGAGGAATTTAACAGTTGCATTGATGATTGCGGGCTTATGGAGCTCCCTTTAGGAGGCAGCAGTTTCACTTGGTGTAAAGGAGGGGACAACAATTGTCTGTCAAGGATAGATAGAGTGTTTGTCTCCTTGAGTTTTGACATTCTATATCCAGACTGTTCTTTAGTTTCGATGGATCGTATAGAGTCAGATCATAGTCCCCTATTGATCAAGTGGGGTGAAGACCAGAGGGTTCACCGTCCGTGGAAATTTGAGAATATGTGGTTAGAGGATAGCAGATTCTATGTGGCCTTGGCTGAGTGGCTTAACACGCAGATACAGGGAAGGGGAATGGTGTTTAGGTGGGCTCGGAGATTGCAGGATCTTAAGAGCAGGATTAAAATCTGGAATAAGGATGTATTTGGGGACATGAACAAGAAGCTTGATGATCTGATTGCTGAGAATCGGGATATTAATCAAAGGGAGGAGGAAAGGATGCTGACGGCTGAAGAGGTGAGAAAGAGGGATTGCATTCTAATCGAGATCGGCCAGGTTCTGGACCTTTTGGAGATTTCGTGGAGGCAAAAGTCACGTGAACTGTGGCTGAGCAAAGGAGACAGGAATTCCGGGTTCTTTCACAGGGTGGCAAACTTCAGAAGGAAAGTAAATCGAATTGTCAGCATTACAATTAATGGTACGGTAATTGAAGGTAGAGAGGAGGTCGCCTTGGGTGTAGTTGGGTACTATCAAAGTTTGTTCTGTGAAGATCTTAAAAAGCGCCCCTTTCCTAGGGCTTATGACTGTCTCAAGATCTCGGATGAGGTGGCCCAATCTCTTACTAGACCCTTCTCGGAGTTGGAAGTTTGGGAAAGCATTGCGGACTGTGATGGTGGAAAGGCTCCTGGCCCGGATGGTTTTACCTGGGAATTTTATAAGAAGACTTGGAATTTAATTAAACCGGAAATCATGCTCGCTTTTGGGGAATTCTTCAATTCCGGATACCTACCTTTTTGTGCCTCTCATTCATTCATCTGCTTAGTTCCTAAGAAGGATGCTGTGGCTGATATTAAGGATCTTCGTCCTATAAGTCTCATGGGTAGCTTCAATAAGCTTGTCAGCAAGGTTCTTGCAAGGAGAGTTGGATCTGTTCTTCCTCATATTGTCACTCAAAATCAGCATGCTTCTATAAAAGGCAGGCAGATTGGGGAGGCTGGGTTAATCGCTTTTGAGTTGGTGGACAGCAGGAAGAGGAGCAGGAGGCCAGGCCTAATGTTTAAATTGGATATTGAAAAGGCCTTTGATAACGTGAATTGGAATTGTTTGTTCCTGATATTGACTCGGATGGGCTTTCCGGAACGATGGCAGCAGTGGATCAAGGGCACTATGTGTAGTCCAAAGGTGTCTGTTCTTATAAATGGAGAATCGAAAGGCTATTTTGGTACTGAGAAAGGGTTGCGTCAAGGTGATCCCTTGTCCCCGGGATTGTTCACACTTATAATGGATGTGTTATCCTTCATGATCAATAAGGTCAAAGACAGCGGGAAAATTTCCGGTTTTCGGATGAATGAAGAGAGTGGTGGTGGTGAGGTAACTCATTTACTCTTTGCTGATGACACACTGATCTTCTGCGATGCTGATTATGAGCAAGTTAAAAGCATCATCGCAACCCTGGTTTGCTTTCAAGCTGTCACAGGCTTAAGAATTAACCTGGATAAGTCCGTCATGTTCACCGTTGGCGACGTGCCAAATCCAGATTTCTTGGCTTCGGTTTTTGGATGCAATTGGAGTAGCGAAGCCTCGAAGTACTTGGGGTTTCCTCTCGGATCCAAACCAAACTCAGGCGGGTTGTGGGATTCTATTGTGGACAAGTATCAAAAGAGGCTAGAGGGGTGGAAAGGCAGATTTTTGTCGTTAGGAGGGAGGCTGGTGCTAAACAAGGCTGTGCTTTCTAGCCAAACAGTTTACTATTTTTCCCTTTTTCGTGCTCCTTCTAAGGTGATTAATAGGCTTGAAGGAATTCAAAGAAGATTTATTTGGAGTGGCACTGGGGAATGTCAGAAGATTCCTCTGGTGAGATGGGATGTGTGTAAAGCTTCGGTAACTCAAGGGGGTCTTGGCATTATGGATTTGGATTCCTTTAACAGAGCTATGCTTGGAAAGTGGCTGTGGCGATACGCTACGGAAAAAGAGAGTTGGTGGAGAGAGCTGATCGCTATCAAATATCCCAACAATCTTTCGGAGTGGCGTACAGGAAGAAGTAGACAGGGTTTTTCCGGCTCGGTATGGGCCAATATCTCCAAGGGTTATGATAGTTTCTGGAAGATGGCTTCTATTGATCCGGGAAATGGAGCTTGGGTGTCTTTTTGGCATGATAGCTGGATCCCTGAAGTGGTTCTCGCCGACTCCTTCCCTAGAGTGGCCGCTGCTTCAAGCTCCCAGACTGCCTCGGTCTCAGACGCCATGACCCTCTCAGGTGAGAATATTGCGTGGCAAGTTCCTTTAAACGTTACTCTTAGAGGGGGGGCTGAAAGGGAGAGGATTAATTTGATTAATTTGCTTAACACAAGAGGTTCCAGTAGGGTGACCAGCGGGCCGTCTAGGCCAGTTTGGTTACCCAATCAGGAAAACCATTTCTCTGTTCGTTCTATGTACAGGTGCCTTGTTGGCGAGAAGTTCAATGGAGTGACGGATTTCCCTGCTGAGTCTGTTTGGCGGCAGATTGTACCAACGAAGGTTTGTGCTTTTATGTGGCTGGTGGCCCATAAGCGCATTTTGACTCTAGATAATCTTCAAAAGAGAGGGTGGCAACTTGCGAATAGATGTGTTCTATGTGGCGTGGAGGAGGAGAGCATTGACCATCTTCTGTATCAATGTGGCTTTGCTGCGGAAGTTTGGACAAGAATGCAGAGAGTCTGTGGGGACTTGGATCTCTTGGGGGGTGACTTTGTATCTATCATTCGTAGATGGTCTTGTGCTGTTGATGGTAGTGTGGAGAGCTGGGTTCGCTTTGGTGCCCTTCATGCTGTGAGCTGGCAGGTGTGGCTGGAAAGGAACAGAAGGGTCTTCAACGACACAAGGCTGCAGGCCAGAGGAGTTACTCGCAAGGCAATTAGAGATTCTTTGGAGTGGGCTATTGCTTGTGGCAAGATTGATAAAAGTTTAGGTTTCAGTTGGCTGGAGGGTCGGCAGCTTCTGCTCTAGGGGGAGGATTGGATATTTCTGGTTCAGCTATCCTCTTCTGATCTATCTATTCCTCGGTTCTTCGATGAAAGCAGCTGCTCCTCTTGTCTTTTTGAGCTTGCTGGTTTGTGGTTTGCTTCGGTTGGGTCTTGGGGGCCTGGGTGCCTCAGGCGCTGGCTCTGCCTCTGGGTTGGCAGGGCTCTGCTCTGTCTCTTTTTTGGCTGCGGAGGGGGTCTGGTCCCCCTGGCAGGTTTTTAATTTCTTTTCTTTCCTTTTCTCTCCGTCCTTCTCGGGGATCAAGCTTGTTTGATCCATTGCTATTTTTGGTTTTGTTGTAATTACACTTTCTCCTTCTTGCCTTTGGGCTGGTTTTAATAATTATCACCATTATCAAAAAAAAAGTCATGCTTTTGACACCCAAAATAACAAAGAGGGGCAAGGAGAAATTAAATTCAACGCAAAATACAGAGATCAGAATTCAGATCACCGGCAAATTCATTTTCCCCCACATCGTGTAGGCGAAATCTTCTGCCGGAAATCATGCGGAAGATGATTAATTAAAACGAAAAATCTCGCCGGAAACGATCGATTTCCGGGAAAATCTAAACACAAAAACAAGAAAATTGAGAATTTTACATCGAAAATTACTGCAACTTCTCCGAGCCGTCGCGTGCAAGAGACTGCTGCCGTCAGATGATTCCTTCCTTCCACAGAAAAACAGTAAAAAAAAAAATTACCCGAGCCCAAAACAGAGAGAAAGACGGTGACAGAGACAAATATTTTCTCTCGCCTTTCATCTTTCTCCGGCCGTCCGATCGATCAAACAAACAAGTTGAGCAGCTTCTTCTCACCATCACCGCCGCAGTGATCTCTTCCACCTCCCCACGCCCCAGCAGCGCTGCTCTCGAAACAAGTGGTCACCGACTCCTCGGAGTTCATCGAAGGAGTACCGGGCCGCCTGAAGTCCGGCTTGTAGAGCGGAACAGCCTTGGGAGAGAGGGTCGGGGTCAGCCGGAGATCCAAATCATTCATCGGCAGCAGCATCACGCTAGTCGGCTCCCCCACCCGTTTCCGCTTCGGGGAGACCTTGGATCTGGAACTCGAGAACCGAGAATGGGTGCTCAGATTCGGAATCGGACTCTGGCTCTGGCTCTGGCTGGGGCTTCGTTCGTTGAGCTTCCACATCTCGCTACAGCCGACATCGACCTCGGACGCTTCATCGGAGGCCTGAGATCCGGACAGAAACTCCGGGATGGGGGCCAGAGTCCCGCCGCGCAGCACCGTCTCCACCGCGGCCTGGCAGACTTGCCAGTTACCCGTCCAGAGTAGCCCCACGGCGCCGTTTACCGGGTTCACTGTTCTCCCGCAGGCTTCAAACAGGAGCGATTGGAAAAGGGCTGCATATCGATTGATTGATTTCCCAAAAAGCATCAGTAAAACAAAAAAAAAAAAAATCGATTGAGAGTAGAGAGTAATTAAATTGGGAATTAAAGTAGTTTGGTTACCAGGGCGTTGGGGGTGGGGGACGGCGGAGATGAAGGACATGAGGCCGGCGCGGCCGAAGAACTTGGCGACGAAGACGGTGGCGTGGCCCTGAGATTCAGGGCTTTCGATCCACTGGAGGCAAGGGCGGAGAATACAGGTCTCACTGCATCCCTTTCGGAGAACTCTGCAACCGTTACAGCTCATTGAACTAAACACATCAATTAGTTAGACACCCTAATTTTTTTGAGAAAGGATGCCGCTAGTAAAAAGGAAGGAGGAAGGGACGCGAATGGGAAAAGAGAGGGGAATGGAAATGAAGCTTTGGAAGAGGGAGGAGAAGGAGGTATATATAGAAAGATGGTGTCTGTGGGAAGGATGAGGAAGACGAAGAAGAAGAAGAAGAAGAAGAAGAAGAAGAAGGGCGGGTGGTTCGGAGTTGGGTTCGGGTTTAGGGTTAGGAGGCAGAGAGAGAGGATGGTAACCAGGGTTAAGGGTGGTGGGTTTGGTTGGGGGTTAGTTTGGTAGTGGGTGGGGTTAGAGTTGGGTTGGGTTGGGTTGGGTTAAAAGTGGGGAGGGGAGGGGAGGGGAGTTAAAAAGCTTTTGAAGATTCCAAAGACCTGGGCTGGGCGGGCGGAAGCGGCTCCGTGTCTCCGCGAAAGGTTGTGGCCTCCGCACCGTTGGATTGTCTTTCTTTTTGTTTATCCAATTGTGTGTTTTTATTTTTTTGACAAAAATGATTCATTGGGTCTGCTGTTGCTTCTGTTCTGTTCCTTTACGCTGCTGCCTGCTACGGGTTTTTTCATTTTCTTCAGTTCTTTTTCATTTTCGGTTTTCCGCCCCCTCTTATTTTTGTGCCCACATATGAAAGGTCCTTTGGACTTTTCTTTTTCTTTTGCCCTCTATGGAATCTGAAATAATTAATTAATTTGCATATATGTTTTGTTTTGTTTTGTTGTTGTAGACTGTGTGTGGAGTAGTGGAGTGGATATTGATGGCCTTTCATTTTCATCCTACTAATGCTGGGACCCCATGCTAGTTTTTGTTTTGCTCGTAAATCATAACTCTCGCCCCCGGCCAACTTGTTGCTCGTAAGAGTGGAGGAAGGGTGTTAGATTGGTTTATACTGTTGTACTCGTTATATGTTGCGATTGACGGTACAACTGGTTTATACCAGTTCATGTAGGTTTTAGAAAATTATGTAAGAAAATGGAAATTGTTGACACTTAATTGGTAGTGGACAACGTAAACTCGACAATAAGGTTGTAATAAGAAGAAGCATATATAAAAATCAATAATTATGGTTTGATGGTATTAGATTATGTTAAAGTATTTCTTAAAAAAAATTTAGTTAAAACAGTTGACCAGTTAAACCGTGGTGATTTATCTGACTTTATGTAATAGTAGAGATTGTTTATATTGGTAGTTTTAGTATAATGGTATTTTTTTATATAATGGTATTGGTGTGATCCTGGATGGTGGATCTCCAGCATTTGAGCGAGCTCTGTATCAATCAGGTATTCTCCTTGACTGTGGTCGAGTTGCTACATTTATATTGTTCGAGCCTTCTCGCGATTTCGTGTTGAGATTGCACTGCAATTTCCACCCTATCATTTACTTTTCGAGTTGTTGAGAGAAAATTCAGAAAAAACCCCCCAAAAAGATCGAAGTTGCGCGACTTTGACAAAAGAACTACGCTTTCCTGCACTCCTTAATTTTTTTGATACTTATGATGCTTCAAGATTCACCAGCGGGCCATGCAGACCGGTCTGGTTGCCTTGTGCGGATCAACCCTTTTCTGTTCATTCCATGTACATGGCTCTAACGAAGAATCAGTTCCCGGGAAGCGACAATTTCCCCAATAATGTTGTCTGGAAACCAATCATCCCTTCCAAAATTTGCACCTTCATTTGGCTGGCATACCTCAAAAAGATACTCACTCTCGACAACATCAAGAAGAGAGGTATGCACCTGGCTAATAGGTGTGAGCTCTGCAAGACAGAAGAAGAGACGGTGGATCATCTGTTCATTCATTGCGTTTATAGCAAGGAGGTTTGGGGAAGATGCAAGCTGTTATGCTCAAGAATTGATTCACCATCCAACGACGTTCCTTCTTCGATCAACAGCTGGAACTCCGACATTCCCGAGAGCTTTGACGGGTGGATCAACTACTGCGCGCTTCACGCCATTTTCTGACAAGTATGTTTGGAGCGAAATCGCAAAATTTTCCAGAACAATCACCTTACTCCAACAGCCACCGCCCTCGAGGCTTTCAAATTGATGATTGAATGGCCTATTGTATTGGGCAAAGTTAGCAGAGAGGATGGTCGGCAATGGCTTGTCAACATTCAGCACCAACTCCCGATTGTGGCACCATAATGCTTCTGTTTCTTTCTGCGCCTTGGTGTCTGCTGCCTGGGGTGTTTCGCGATACCTTGGGTGTGACTTCGGGGTTTGCTGTCATGCGAGTATTTTCTTCCGTTTGGAGAATGTTGGTTGCAGAGGTTTTGCTTTGTTTTTTGGCCCAGTCCCCTCTTGTTTGGTGGTCTCTCAGGTTAGCTGGGATAGTCTGCTCCATTCAGCTAGCTCCCTTTCTTTTTTATTTTCTTTCGTTCTGCTTGTTACCTTTTTCTTCTGGTGCTTTGGTTCATTCTCTTGTGAACCTCCACCTCCCAGACTATTTGTTTCCCTTTATTTCCAGTTAATACATTTCGATCACCATTATAAAAAAAATATTTATGCAATAATATTAGTTTTTGAAAGTGGTAGTGGTTGTATAATTGATTGGTATTGATTTCTTGTTTTATTTTTGCTATGATATTATTTCGACTAAACGGATAAAAGAAAAATATGAAGAAAAAGAAGGAAAAGAGATATGACTGGAGATTGTGAAAGTGAGAAAGAAAGATAAAAAAAATTGAGTTAATATGTTTTGTAACTTCCTAAAAAGTAATTTATTAAAAAATAATTAATAACAAAATTTGCATACCCAATTTGTTTGTGGTAATCATGGCGATTACTACTCCACACTAATCACCATAACTGCTCCCATCAAATAAATAAAAAGGTACTTAGCTCATTACTAGTAGTTCATAGTCTTTTGTGTGAATACGAACCTTGCTTCATTATATTGCTATTAATGATAAGTACATTTATCTTAGTCGCAAGTTGGTATGAACAGAAGGAACGATATTTTTTTTTTTTTGATAATGGTGATAATTTATTAAAAGGGAGGCAAAGAGGGTTAAAAATCCAAAATGAACAAAAATACAAAGGGGAAAGGGATGGGAGCACAAGCAGTGCAGCCCAAGACCCCGACCCAAAAGAAGAAAACAAGACGAAGATCACAACAAAAGCAAGACCCCAACCCAGGGAAAAGTCCCCAACTCGCCCAAGACAGAACCGATGAGCGGACCACAAGCAGGGAACAATAGAACACCAGCGCCCAGAGGAGGGAGCAACAGCAGAACAGCAGCAGCACCGGAACAAACAACTCAACTCGCGCCAGCAGCGAACAGCGAAGGAAAGAAAGAAACAGCGACCGCATCAGCAGGAGCGACGAACCAAAAGGAAATGGAGGAGCACGAATCAAATCCCAGCCATATTATCTCTGAACCATCTAGCAGCCTCTCCGGCTTCAACTTTACCGAGAGCAGTGATCCATTCGATCGCGTTTTTCGCAGCCCTTCGAGCCACCACCCCGGCAAAAGAGACTTTGTCCTCGAAAGCTCGCTGGTTCCGTTCGAGCCAGACGTTCCACCACACAGCGTGTAGGATACCCTCCTTAAACCACGAGCTAACATCATCCAAAGACCCTGAATCCCACTCCTTGATAAGACCCGCTACCTCTCTAGACTGGAAGAGTCTAGCCCAGTTGTTCCCATAGATACATCTCCACACAGCCAAAACAAAGTCACAATCGATGAACAGGTGTTGCACAGTCTCATCTTTGCCATGACAGAGATAGCACCTATTAGCCATACTCCATCCTTTCTTCATCAAATTGTCAATAGTATGTATTCTGTTAAGATACACCAGCCACATGAAGAAGCACAGCTTGCTAGGCACCACCGGCTTCCAGATCTTCTTAACAGGGAAGCTTGAGATTCCGTGGAACTTCTCCATCGCCAACACCTCGTACATGGATCTGACAGTAAACCTGCCATTGGTACCTGGAATCCAAACCACTCTACATGGATCTGACAGAAGGAACGATATTGCCATGGCGGTATGAACATACCAAGAGTGTAGGATGGTTGAATGCATGAATGAACTCGTTCATAGTCTTTTGGTTCTGTATTTTGTCCACCTAGAAATTCTTAGATCCAATAGATCAGGATGAACTCGTTTCTTCTGTACAATTTTTTTCAAAAACGACTTAAAAACTAAGAAAATACCATATATTTTGCAAATTTAGTTACGTCCAAAATTCCAAATTTCGATCTGAATTTTATGCACCGTACCTAGCCCTCCTCAAATATATCTCCCTTATCCAAACACTATAATAACAACAACTGTAAAAATGGGTTATCGAAAGTTGCTGAGTTAATAAATTAAATAAATAGGACAGCATTATCAACAAGTCCAATTGGAGAGTGACGGGCGAGCCAATCATAAACACTACTTTTCCTGCTTGACAAGAGGAAAAGGAACAGCTGCATTTCGCCACTTGCTTGGGAGGGTATCATATGGCATCCCACTTTCTGGGGACTTTGCAATTTGCAGCTACAAATAAAGCCAAATTGCGCCCACATTATATCATCCCTATCCCAAACTTTGAAAAGAAAAAAAATTGACCCACAAATCGGAATCTGGAAGATATTGCCTGTAAATTTCCATGATCATTATTTTCCTGTACCTATTTCTTTTTTTTTCCCCTCAAAATTCCTCATCTTTTGTCTAGACGTGGGAAATTTTGTGCATATGGTCCCCTCAACGTACAGCAGGAGGGAGAGGAAGACCAAATTGGTGAAACCCAAAAATATATACACAATGAAAAATGAATGACTGAAGAATGGGATCCAAGTTGGTCCCAGGGATCCTCTGTATAATCATCCATCCCAATGGAAGAAGATACGGAAGGCAATATTATGTGGTTATGTAACTACTCTCGCATAGCTAGCATAATTACTTTTTGTATTACATAGTGCTAGAACGGATTGCATTTGTCGATTGTTGTGTTGGATTGACTAATTCCTGAATGGGATTTATGGATACATTTAAAATCTGAATCTTGAAGTTTAATTTGTAAATTAAAATATATA